GGGGGGAAGGCAGGAGGGAACGGTATCTTTTGTGTTGCCAGTAGGAGAAAAAGTGTGTGGGTGTGTGTGCGTGTGTGTGTGGGGGGATGGGGTGGGGGGTTGAGGGTGAAGGAGGAGGAGGGAGAGGGAGGGGAGAGAGGGATGGGTCGAGGTGAGGTGGATTGATGGCACGGGACAATCAGGTAAAACGAGACCACCTGGTGTGTTATGGGACTAACGGGTCGGGGTACTGACCCATCACGTGATGCTGGCAGGCATCCGAACTCATGGAGACTACACAGAGACTACACAAAGACTGCAGAAACTACACAGCGACTACCACAAACACTATACATAGAATACATAGTGACTACAGAAAGACTACACAGTGTGACTATACAAAGACTACACAGTGTGACTATACAAAGACTACACAGTGACTACACAGTGACTACTCAAAGACTACACAGTGACTACACAAAGACTACACGGTGACTACATAGTGACTACACAACGAGTACACAGTGACTCCATGGTGACTATTCGCACTCCTGACTCCTGACCATTCTAGCCCTCATAACTCGAAAGTAAAACTCACTTAACAATGTTTTTGGGTGGTCTCGGATTTGATAGGGTAATAATATAATGAGCTGGGAAGTCCATAGAGCTTGCTTTTGAGCGGGAATATGCGCTATGCAATTACTGTGGTTGCAATTCTTGTTTTTGTTGTTGCTGTTATTAATATTATTATTATTTCATTGGTTTATTCTCTGCAATTGACGTTAGAAAGAAGTTTTTGTGGTATATTTCGTAAAGAACGTCAGCAGTTCAATTTCCTAAAGAGAGTAAGATTTCACCTTACTCTGTAGTTGTGTTTGTGTATATCACACCCAACGCAGGAAAGTCGCTAAAGACAGACAGAACTGAAGCAGCCCGCTTCCAATACTGATGTTATCTCATTTTTGTCTTCCCGGACGTGAAAGATTGTCACGGAACATAAAAGATTTTTAAACGAACTGACAAACAGAGGTGGATGGATAGACCTTTTGACCCAGTTACAATACTATTACCATGTCAGAACGCTAAAGACTTCGACGAAGAAACCAAGAGTCAAGCTAAATAGATAGATGTAAGACGGATTCCTGCAAAAGTAACGGTGGCCGCTTGCCAAACCTCTGTACGTACAAACAGCGCGCTCACATTCACCACCACCACCACCACTGACCCATTTCTAAAGGTCACCCACCACTCGACTCACCAACCAACATTATCTGTGTCCCTGCCCCAGTCACTGTTGTTAACGTTCCTCCAGAGGGTTTAACATGTTTTATGTTAACGGCTCCTACAGCGACGG